AAATATTCGATCATAGTTAAGTATTCGAAACTGTAACATGATCGAATGTCAAATTTTCTGTTTTGTATTCATGCCATACATTTAAATCAGCGATCTTTTAAAGTGAGATATAAAATTTTCGTTGAGGTATAATGATGTAATTATTTTTATGTTTGCATTGTACTCTGTTACTTTCTACAATGAAATCTATTTACAAAGTAAACGTCATCAAGTTTTGTATATCATATAAATCTAATACTAAATCTGAGTATATTACTTATTTACAAAAAATTAATATTTTCAAACAATTGAAATCATTGCAAATTGAACTTCCTCCTTGATCTGATAAATTATTGATTATTTAATTTACAGATTGATCAATAAATATTTAATCATATTCATTCGTATAATTACTTATGTCGATTGAATGTGTATACAAACATTGTTACAAGGTATTTTTCTTCAATACGAGCAACGCTCAATTATATTCATTAAATCTATGAGAATTACTTACCAATTGTAATTCACTCACATTAAAACAAAAAATTATCATCCACTTATACTGTTCTTATCAAAAAATCCATTAAATATCCAATGACTGTTTTAGAAAAGAGAAAAAAAAACAAAGCATGTGACATAAACAAGTAAATATAATAACGTTGATATTCAAGCTAATCTATTCCGTTTGTGTAGAAGAATAAATATTTGTTCTCAGAAGCATTAGAAGATAAAGTATGATCTTTATTTATGCGTAAAATATTTATGATGAAGCATGTGACTTTTATTAAAACATTTTCACTTATTTAACTGTTCTTCTATGTAAAAGAAAATACAAATTATATTTTATGTCATAAAGATTCATTGTATCACAAAAAAAGGAAAGTTTACGTATTGATATATATGAAATATGTTGACTATTGTTTAAGATAGTCTCTAACTCTCATTAAAGTTATTCCTAATTGATTTCTTCCTGAACCATCTCCTCCATCTCCCCAATAAGAATCATTTATTGTATGTTCAACTAAAGTACGATCTCCAGTTGATAATAATAATTGTTTAAGTTTTGGATGTTGTTGAAATTTTGTCAAACATCCTTTAAACATTATATCATCTTTTACATTTGCCCAATCTGGTCGTATTGCAGATTATAAGTTCGTACATAGTCACAATTAATTGATTTACAACTAAAGAGTCTAATCGATACAAAATGATGTGATTGAGTTTATTTTGTAAGCTGCTTTAAACGTTTCTTTCTCTTCCAATGCTATTTTTTTTCTCTTGTCTTATCAACGCATAGAATTTCATTTGAAATGTCATCATACTTCTTTTTTTGTTGGTACTATCTATTATATTGCATTTTCGAAATTTTAATTAAAAAAAAAAGAAAAGTATTCAGCAGTAAAGTTGCTTTCTTCTTTTTAACAGGAAGAAAAGGATGTCTTTTCGTTGACATATATTATATATGTTTTTAGTTTGTTGATCAATAATAATGCTCAAGCTCTATAATATCATCTAACTAGTACAATATCTTGTATCAAATAAGTCTTACTCAGACTTATTATTTTGAGTCAAGAATATGAATAAGAAGTAATAATTTACTGGTGAGTGTTTTATGAGCAAAAGTTATTTATTTTATTTCATAAAACATAGTAGCTATTCACTATTCACTCAGTCGATGATGATGCGCTTTGATCTTTTCATTTTCTTTGATAATGCTTAATTATGACTCTTTTGAAGAAACAACTTATCGCAAAGCAATTGAGTAGTGATTGCTGTCGTGTTCAATTTTCGATCATTATAATAAAAAATGAAGAAAGTAAAAATAGTCGAAGAGAAGTAAGTTCATTTTATCGTCACAAATAAGCTTTTCTATTTAAGAATAACATCCATCGAAACTTTTACTGAATAAAAAAAGTATTTTTAAATGTTTTTTACATATTGATTCTGAAGTGGCTATACTAATAGTTTCAGTTTGTACTCGATTGATGTGCAAATATATAATACTAAATCACTATTGTCATGAGCTTTGTGTTCATTCTATAGGTCAGCTAATGGCTATGAACAAACTTTGTTCTTTTTGCACACTACATAGAATTATTCGTGACATTCATCGTGAGCCTCGTAATAAATACAATTCATTAAATTATCCTCATGCAACTGCAGAACCTTTTGCTCAACAAATCGAACAATTATCTCCGACATTTACCTTTGGTGAGCAAGGAGATTCATCAGAATTTTTAATCTTTTTGTTAGATCGTCTTGTTTCCTGTCTAAAAATTAATGAAGTTATTGTTGATATAAATTCATCTGTACAACCAATTCAACAAATATTTGGTTTAAATATTGTTTCTATCATTGAATGCAAAATTTGTTTTAAACGATCAAGTGTTGATACTTGGGAGAGTATTTTATCTCTACCCATATCTTCTTATTCAAATCTTAATGAAAGTCTATCAGCATACTTCAGCATTGAAGAATTAAAAAATGGTGATTTATATTCATGTTCTAATTGTGGAAAAAGAGTACCATCTAACAAAATATTTAAAATTAATAAAGGATCATCTGGGATATTTTTCCATTTAAAGCGATTTGAGCATGATGTAAAACTTAATTCAACTCGTAAAATTAATGTGGTTATGGCTTATCCGGAAACAATTATACTTGATTATTATTTTGATGAAACTAGTCGACAATCAAACAAAGAAAATGAAGATTATAGTGTTATCTATAAATTGAATAGTGTAATTGTACATCAATGTGAATATGTAACTAATGGTCATGTGTTTGCTTATGTGCGTGCTCCTGATGGATATTGGTATAAAGCAGATGATGAACTAGTTACACCAGTTCATTTAGATTCAGTACTTAATCATAACGATGCTTATATACTATGTTATGTTAAAATGCCACAGGATTCAATATATTTATCGGATGATGAGCCGATATCATCTCCAATACATACATCTTCAATTTTAATTTCATCAACACCAACAGTTTCATATAAGTGTTTTGATAAAGCTTGTGATATTTATGAAGATGTGCGTAAAATATTTTCTTTCATTAGTATTTGTATTATCTTTAATGTCTTATATAGGAAATTTCATTATCAGACGAAGAATCTATTTCTTCGAATGATTGCATAGATATTGTTTCAATTGATGATAATTCTTTTGATGATACAAACTCTTTCAATTTAAATGGTGGTGCCTTTGATTTGATTTGTTTCATTTGTTTTTCTATTCAGACATATTTTCAGATAATTCTTTGATACAGCAACGCTCAACTCAACTTGAGTCGATGACTTTATCAACATCAATAGACACTTCAAGTAAGTAAATCGAACTTTTTATTTTTGGAAACTGATAGAAACAAAAAAAAACGATACAAGAATCTAAAGATACGTTCAAAATTTGGAAATCTGTTCACACGTATATCGCTTTTAAGTGTTGTTTGTATTGTTTCAGATATTCAATTGGATGAAAACGTTCAAGATTCACAAGTACAACAACAGCATTAACAAATACAACAACACCATCAACAATTCATAATAATAGCACTATAAATTCTTCACAAATGCGGATCATTTCACAGATAAATCTAAATGGTGTTCAATGTCTCATTATCACAGATGGTAATCATTTTTTTTTCAGTAAGTAGCTATTTGCCTTAAAATTTCATGGCTTCCTTAATATTTTTTCTTCTAAAACAATTTAGATAACAGCACAATCAAAAACGAATACAAATTAAAAAGTTGAACTGTACGTGAAAATAGAATTGTTATTAATTCTTTTGTTTTGGTCAACATTTTTTTCATGTCTACAGGGTGTCTGGAAAATAGTTCCTTATTTTAAATTCCTTTCTATTCTTTAACAAGAACAGATACACAGGTGGCCAAAAGTATGTCCCCCCTTGGATCTTAGCTTCTATAAGAGCTAAACGTCTGAAAATCGGTCCATAGGTAGTCCACATAGAATACAGATCGGCAGTACCATCAGTGCCAAAATTGCTCAATGCTAGAACGAAGTTATAATAGGTGCCATCCACCTCTCTTGTAAATTTCGTAACTC